TCTGATGTTTTCAGGAGAGGGCTACAATTACACAGGACCTCCGTAATGGTGCAAATATATTTTTTAATACTGTCTACTGCACGCAAAATAAATTGCTTTCGCATCTAACTTTCTTCAAAAATGATTGATTCTTTATTCATTACCAACAACCTTGACCTTTATACGCTAAACAGGGTAAATAAATCTGCGTGGTTACCAATCGTCTTCCTCAGCTGCCATGACAGTTCTCGCGTGATGTACTTAGACTTATGCTTGAAATTAAGAAAAGCTTGATAAAGTAAATGTCCGTGTTGATAAATGCTTGTGTTGTATGGTATCACTACACATCGATGAATAAATCATTACATATGAAATATTTTTTATACACAGTGATATTTATGCTTAAAATAAGGAAATTCCTAAATATATCTGCTATTTAGATCCCGAATTCTCATTGGCTGTCCCAAAATATAATTGATCAAGGTCAGTAAACATGGCGGATAAATTCAAGTTGTGATGTTAACATTCACGAAAAAATAACCGATTATGGATTATTCTGTATATTTTTGGAAAATTCATTTTCGAGAACTACATTTTTTGAGCTCAGGTAAGTAATGTTAACAAAACAGCCATTTACTTATGATTTGAGTCAAAATCAAAAATCAAAAATGTTCAGTGCGGGAGTGAATCACTCCCGCACTTGCACCATTACTGGAGATTCTAAGAAGCTGTAGCCCTCTCAAAAAAGGGCTACATTGTTGCAGCTAAATTTGACTTACCGTTTTAATGTTTCAGTACACATAGTGCAACAAAATTGTCAATGGGTTTAGTATAATTATGTGTCTTTATTCACCCTAGCAAATGAATCTTCCATGCATCTATGAAAAAATAAAATTATCCTAATTTGTTAAATACATATCCCATCTATCTGTTATCCTAGCTGCACCGTTGTGTCCTCGTTCGTTTCAGACATGTTTTTCCCTTTACAATGTCTCGGATGACTGAAGCTGGATTTAAAAGTCTCGTTCAGCGAGTTCTCAATTTTGACCTCCTGTTGTTCATTTCCTTCAACAGGTCGAGACAACTAGATTTTCTGACGTCAGCATAAATTTGCATGTACATGTAAATTAGCTATCTGTATACTTTACCGACTGTTGAATGAGTCGCAATGCATTACGGGCTACTACAAGTATCAATACGAACTCAGTTGTGTTGAAAATAAAGGGCAACTTGAATTGTCCCTTGGAAACTCATTTCTAATTCTTTTTTGATATTTATGAAAGAAACATTGAAAATGGAGTATAATCTTTAATTTCTATGCTCACATTTACAAAATTTGCTTTATGAAACCTTATATCAACTTGTATTACATGTACATCGGCGTAAACCATTGTTCACAAAGACGTAGGTGATATATATTGTGTCGATAAAGCTTTGGGTGTGTTTTTTTTCACGTGATATACATGTACATAGTTTTAGAGACAGCAGAACAAGGTGCGCAATTAACTCCTCGAAATTATCAAATTCTTTTTATGTACATTCAAACATCAAAGCGTTTGTACTGTATTTGAAGCAACTATTAATCATCTTAAACTACTCAAATATTAAATGTGAGCATGGAACAGTGTCTTAGGAATATAATCTTTCAATTTCAGCCTTACAAAATATAAAAATCTCTACGGTTTTTCCGGTGAACAAATAAATATTATGCAGTAAACCGACAAAGATCGCATGTCGCTATTGAATCGTAAACACGTAGTGGACCGTCATACTTTGCGACTCATTCAATTGATTGGAGAAAGGGTTTGACGAAAACATCGTCACGTGTTGAAAAGTGCCTTCCATAAAAGATAGTGTACCCGACCTGTTCAATAGCCTTTTGATTGAAATCACAATCTTTAAAAAAAAAAACCTAAAGAGAGGCTTAACTGATACTCATTTTTATCAACTGTAATAATAACAGATCCCTTGAGTTTTTAATTCTTTATTTAACACAGTCATGGAAATGTATCGCTACAAGAGATTCATTCGATCTTTTCATTCATCGTTTTCACCTGTAAATGTTTTGGAAAACTGTTGCGCATTTTTTAAACGTCAATTATTCAAATTTTTCAATCCGCAATTGATCGATAGTAGAGCGAAGATCAAGTATTTAAGTCATGGAAAACCCCAAGAAGGGGCCTAAATATGACCCTTGTGATGTCCACTATCAATAGCAGTAATCTAATTACATGATGTGTCAATTTCCCTTTGCTGGAATCTATTGACAATAGCAATTTCTTTATACAGTGTTGTCAGGAAATCAACTCAAGCCACAGACTCTTTTGTTCCCTGCTTTAATATTCCATTGTATATATTTCTATACCCTATTGTTTAAAGATAATTAATGTAGTGACGTCAGGGGTGTTTTCGATATCAATGGATTTGTTCATTCATAAATATGAAGGCGTGTCCGTTTCCATGGTTAGGAATGACGTCATTGACTCCACAGGGAGCTGTGGAGCTCCATAGTAAAGTATATGGGCCCGTATCGGCAGTTTTACACTACTCATGGAACTTAATTTTATCATCTATGAATTTTATCTGTGTTAACATTAATGTCATTTTTTTCCTACGTAAAATTGTGTAAAAGCTATACGCTTACGTTGCATTTTTATTTCCGGACTAATCATTTTTTTTTTAAATGAATACTGTTCCCACTCAATAACCAACACGAATTTAATGATGAAATAAGGGTTTTAACTACAGTGGCTGCAATGTTATTGTTGACAAACCAATCGTGCAGGATCGTTGTGAAACGTGCGTGATCGTTCGTGTAACGTGAGAGATCTTGCATGAATCGTGCTCAATCGTTTGCGGTTTTAATCGTGTGTGATCTTGCGGTAAGAACCGTGCAAATTTCGTTTTGTCAGTTTTTAAAGAAATGTAAATTGTAAAATAAATATTTTGCTTTTTTGATATTAGTTTTTTTCAATCAATACATCGTAACATAAAGATAAGATACAGATTAATTGAACGAATTAATTATCGCTTATAAACATGATAAATGCTCAAAAAAGTAAATCATTCAATTTCATATTCTCTTAAAATACCTTAACTATTAATGATGAAAAGTATTTAAGATGTTTAACTTTTTTCTGTTGTTACATAATGTTCCCTGTTGGTGGTGGTCTAGGTATTTTTATATCAATGCATCGGAAAAGTATAACTTAGCAAAAAAATATAAATAAATGAAAAAATTTAGAAAGAGAAAATTTATATTTCTTTGATAAATACATGTACTAGTATTGAGTGGGCGAATATAAATGGCATGATAGCCTTGATTACTGTAATCCAGGACACTTAAATTTTAATAAATAATGCAAATGAATGAAGTGTTTAAAAATAGCTAATTTTACAGATGCACAAATAAAAATAAGGATTTATATCTATTAATTTTTTTTACATGCCAATAATATTTATTTTAATTCTTCTCTACCCTGAAACTGCATCAGAGAAATCTAAATGAATCAAAACTCACGGGGTCCACTTCTATCCGACAATAGATAAGAAATTACATCTTAACATATTAAACATTATATTATGGTGACGGAGTTTGGGTACCTGGGGATATAATCAGTATGACTAATTTTCATGGAAAAAATTTCCAGACCGAAGATTAGCGTTCAAGCAGTGCCAAGATGTTTTCGGTCCACTTCGCTTACTCAGCTTGGCCCAGTACACATGTCCATGTGATGTACCCGGAAGTTATAATATCGAAAAATCTCGCGAGTCACGTGACGAGACTTGCACACCCTGTTTACATGCCGATGTCCTAAAACTTAGCACGGGGCATTTCTAAAAGACATCAAAAATTATAAATAATATGAGGACTTGCTGTAGTTTATACTAAAATTATGTCCAAGAAGGTTGCAGTGGTGAGTGATATTTTAGACATCTACATTTTTTTCTGTTTAGAATAATGTATTCAGATATGTGCTCATAATGTATCCTTTATCTCTCTCTGTAATATTGTTTTTGGGACAAACAGAAATCTGCAGTTTTTTAATTTAGTTTATTTTTGCTTTTACGTGATTTTGCAAAAATAACAGAAAAGAATAAGTATGGAATCTTTATAATACACATTGTAGTTTATTCACCCAGTGTGGGTATTTTTTTTTTATGCCCCCGTAATCGAAGATTCGGGGGTATATATTTTGTGCCCTATCTGTCTGTTTTTCTGTTTGTCCGCAAAGACTTTAACATTGTCCATAACTTTTGATTGGTTGGAGCTGTGACTTCCATATTTCACATGTGTATTCCTTCTGACAATACCTTTCTTTGGGTACCATCATATTGACCTTGACCTTGGAGTTTGACCCAGTTTTGCAAAACTTTAACCATATTTAACCTTGGCCATAACTTTTGAAAAAAAAAACGTGCTAGGGCTTTCATTCTTCACATGTGTAATCCTTATCAGAAGACTTTCCTTTGGATACCAACAACTTTGACCTTGGAGGTTGGCCTACTTTTTAAAAAATTAACCTTACCTTAACTTTTGAACAGTTGGAGCTAGGGCTTTCATACTTCTTGTGTGTAATCCTTGTGACAAGATCTTCCTTTGGATACCAACAACTTTGACCCTTTAACCTTCACCTAGGAGTTTGACCTACTTTTGAAAAACTTTAACCTTGGCCATAACTTTTGAACGATTTGTGCTTCGGCTTTCATATATCACATGTGTATTTCTTGTGAGAAGGCCTTTCCATGGACACCATTAATTTTGACCATTTGACCCTGACCTTGATGTTTGACTTACTTTTGAAAAACTTTAATCTTTTCCATATCTATTCAATAGTTGCTGCTAGGACGTTCATATTTCACAGGAATATTCCTCGAGACAAGACCCTACTTGGGTACAAACATAGTTGATTTGCATTTAAGACAGTTTAACCTTCACTGTAAGTTGCCATACAGGGGCTTCAGTGTATCACAAACACATCTTTTTTCTTTTGAATAGTTTAACAAAATAATATATAATTTATTGACTGGGTTCGAGGGCAACATGCGTTTTGTCGGACTCAAGTACAAAACTGTTTGCCTGGGGCCCTTCTTCTTCTTCCATATAACCTCCGAAATATGGCTGAAATATTGCCGACTCTGCGTAAAACAACAATAATCAATCAATCAATCTTCTTCCATATAAGTTAAACTCTAGAGCAATATACTCAGGTACTGCCTCGAACAAAGCTAAAAAAAAACCCACCAGGGCACTTTGTACAATAAAAGGCTAAAAACAGGCATGCTTAGAAGTCATCATTGTTAGCCAGCTGTCACCTCATGTATGTGTCCAGCTGTGACTTGAAGGACTCTAACTTTGGTGCTGAAGCAACTTCAGATGGTAGGTGGTTCCAGTCTAGTATTGTTCTCGGAAAGGAGGAAAGGAGGAATAGTGATATGCATCTATCCGAGTGTGTGGTAGACGGAACATGTGATTGCCTCTAGTCCTGCTTGTCACTAGAGGTTTGGTATAGATCTGCAGGAATAGCCAGCCACTTATGCATGCTTGATCTTGCAAAGTAAAACAAGTCTGATTTTCATTCTTCTGATCTGTAATGGGTCCCAGTGATGATATTGAATCATCTGGGTAACGCTGCCCGGGTGGTGATCATGGTTGTTCTTGGTGGCGAATCATGCTGCTCTTCTTTGCACTTTCTCAAGCTGGTGGATTTGCTTGGAGTTCCAGAGCTCCCATGTTGCACAGGCATATTTAAGGATTGATCAAACTAAACCCAAGTATGCTGCAGATCTTGCAGATGTCCGGTATCCCTCATGTTCTGCTTGATGAAGCCCAGTCTCTTGTTGGCTGTGGATGCAATGTTATTGAGGTGGTTGTCCCATCATAGATCTTTACTGATGGTGAATCCAAGGTATTTGCTGGAATCAACCACGTCTAAGAGGTGTCCGTGTACAGTGTAGTTAGAAGTGATGGGATTCCGCTTGTTGGTAATTTGTATAACTACATATTTTTCTGGGTGAAATGTCATATGCCATGCAGTCCTCCTCACATCTAGTCAGAAAGTCCAGATCCTTCTGTAAGTAGGGATTGGGTAATCTTAATCAGTAATTGTAATCAGCTGTAATCGATTACAGTTTGCGGTATAATCGTGAGTAACTAGTAATCATCTGTTTTTTTCTGGTTACAAGTAATCGTAATTTAATCGATTACTCTGAAAAAAGTCTTGTAATCGTTTGTTTGTTTGTTGTCTAACGTCCCTCTCGAGAATTTTTCACTCATATGGGTCTTTATGATTACTTTATGATTACAGTGACTAAAAGAAGTACATTAAATCATGGTATTTGATGATTTTCATTGAATATTTTTCAGTGTGCAAATTTGTTTATAAGAAAAAATTATTCTAAAATTGACAGGCAATATGAAGCAATAACTTCTATTGCCTTCAGAAATGCTTATAATTAGATCCATTAACCAGGCAGAGAGTGAGTCCTCTCATACTAGCTATATTCAATGGTCATTTCAAAATGCTTTAGCGCTTAACAATTTGTCATGCTAGATACTGAGGAAAATTACTCTAGGATCATTTTCAAGTTTGACTTTTTTGGTTCAATTAACATTTGCGTTACATAGCGTTTTTATTTTCCTTGTAAATCTTTAAATATATATTAGGTGAATCTTTTCTCAAAACTATCTTTGTCATGTGTATTCTAAAAATCACAACTTTGATCAATTTACAAAAAAATATTTTATTATAAAGCAATAAAACGCAGGCATACGCAAGTTAGGTCAGCTTGGGTAATGAGAATAGTGAACAATTAATGCTTGTCCAGTGAATGTGTTAATTCTAGTTAAAACATCTAAAAATTAGCAGTTCTATTGAAATGTTCATCACTTATATCAATGTGACCCTTTACATATAAAACAGTCCTCTATTGAATCCTTTTATCTCTTGCTATAATTTTGTCAAAGGATTTGAGTGATGAATTAGATATATTGTTTTCCCCTTCAACAATAACACAGACATTTACTTATACAGTATATGGGATAGAAATCAGATAAACCATATGGAATACCTAAATATGAACATGAATATAATCAAATCTTGTCCAAACTTTACCTATTAAATGAAAATGAACATTAAATGCCATTAAAAAGTGTGTAAAATGAGTACTGATTTAAGAATAATATGTCCTGTTAAAAAGTGTTCTTTTTGGGATATTAAAGAAAAGAACTTACAAGACAAAAGCTTTAAAATTAATGTAATCTAGAGTAATCACAAGTACCGTATTTGGCCGAATATAATACGCATTGGTGTAAAATACGCACGCCCCCCCCCCCTTTTTGAGCCTGAAACTGGGGGAAAACGCAGTTTGGCTGTATTATACGCAGCAGAAAATTTTACCAAGCGCCGTTCTGAACTTTTGAAAATCGATGTAATTTGCTATGAAAATCGGCGCGGAGATAAAGTGCCGAAAATTTACAGAACACGATATTTTATTCAAATGCGTTTTTATTTCTTAAGCTTGACTTTCCATATCGCGGCAATTTGGAGGAAATTATTTATTTTAACAAAGCACGAGATAATGTTGCATTAAAGTATTAACAGAGTTTATTATTATTAATTTTTTTTAGCATACGGTGATATTATATTATTGAAATTATACGTCGCCGTATTCTAACTATTCTTTGTGGAAATAATTTTATTTCAACAAAGCACGATATATTGTTGCAAGTTTAACAGTTGTCATATTTAGTTTAAGGTAATCATGTTGAAAATTATGTAAATTTAACAGGGCAAGCGATATTGCAACATCAAAGTATTCATAAACTACGATTATCCTGATTACATGATGGAAAAGTAATCAGATGTAATTGATTACTTGAATAAATGACTGTAACCTGCTTGTAATCGATTACTTTTAAAATCCAAAGTAATTGACATTTAATCGATTACTTTTGAAAGTAATCGAACCCATCCCTGCCTGTAAAGTATCTCCATCAGCCTTGTTTGTAATTGGTCTGCATTGGAGGCAGCATCTGACAGTGTCCTTTCAGGTAGGTCCTTGATGTAGAGGAGAAACAGTAAAGGTCCTAAGATTGTCCCTTGTGGCACTTCTGACACCACCGGTGCAGTTGTGGAAGTATGGCCCTCTACAAGCACTTTCTGTGTCTTATCTGTTAAGAAGTCGGTAATCTATTGGAGAGTTGTGCCTCGTACCCCATAGTAGTTAAGCTCATGAGCTAGCCGATGGTGGGGGACTTAATCAAAGCAGAATAATATCTACTTGACCTTTCTCTCCTAGACTCTGAGCCAGTCCGTTGATGGTGGACACCAATTGCGTTTCACAGGAACGCTTTGAACGAAATCAATGTTGACTGTCTGAGAGGATGGAATTCTCATCTAGATGGTAAATTACTTGGCTATATATAATATGTTCCAGAAGTTTACAAAGGATAGATGTAAATGATACAGGTCGATAATTCGAAGTGTTTGCCCCCCTTCTTGAAAATTGGAACAATACTTGCCTGTCGCTAGTCATCTGGAATATTTCCTATTTCTATAGATAATTGGAAAACAGATGTTAATACTGGTGCAAATTGGTCCGCGTGGTCATGTAGTAGCTTAGATGGTATTTCGTCAGGGCCAGAAGCTTTGTTGAGCGTGAAGTTTTTATATAGGGTGTAGACTCCATTTTGTGACACTGTGATACGATAGGATGGGAACTAGGTCCCTTGTCTGGCATGATGCTGGTGTTCTCATTGGTGTACAAAGAGTGGAATTGGTTATTGAGGATCTCTGCCTTGGATTCCTTGTCACAGTATAACAGACCATCAGCCTTTTTAAGAGGTGCAGCGCCTTGTGAATCTTTTTCCGTTGAAGTAAGATAAGAATTTTTTGGATTGCTATTGAGGTCGCTGCAGAAAATCTCATATAATATAGCTGTCGTGAGCTCTTCTAAATTCCCTTTGACCTGTTGCCTTCAAGTGTCGATACTGAGTCCAGTCTTCTAGGTTTCTCTAGCCTTAGGAAAGTCTTATGTTAACTTCGGATCAGACGCTTGACAGATGAGTTGATCCATGGCTGAGAGTGCCTGCTCCGAAATGTCAATGGGCCGAGGTGTCTGACATTCCCTGCTCCTATTCAGTTTGGTCGGGACATGCTTCTGTAACATATCTGTGACATGTCGATAATACATAAAACATTGATGACATCATTTATCACTGATTCGGATGCCAGGTTCTTCCAGCTTTCCTTGATTGCTTGTGTGTCTGGTCTCTTCAGTAGGAAAATTTTCCTCCGACCTGTTAGGCCGAAGGCAAAAAAGTTTCGAGGGGTCGACAAAACGCATTTTGCCCAAGAACACAGTCAATAAATGTTTTGTTATACCTTTTGTTTTATTATTTTTTTTTTTACATACATGTATCATGAAGTAAATTTCTTTACCCGCACTGCCGTAAAACGTGGTTCTGACACTGACGAATGCAAATACGATTTAGGTGATCCCGCCCACAGTGTGACGTAAGCTGTCCGATATCTCATCGACAGGTCCAATATCTCACTCTGTGGTGATCGATTTTTTTAATGACCGCTCAGTAAAACATTGGAAATGTTAGACTTTTTAAAGTATAGATTTATATAGGAAGCAATTTTTAAAGGTATAAAAATATCATTCAATAGTATACAGTGGAAAGTGATATTTTACAATACCTACTGTCAGAAAATTATATTCCATTATGTGGTCATAATTGATTAATCCTCTCTCTGTTTATAATTGTTTTGGGGACAAACAGAAGTATTCCGATTTTTTAACTTAGTTCTATTTTAATGTGATTTTGCAAAATCACAAAAAGACCTGCCAGACACGTTATAAATCTCTTGTAATAATATGAATCCCTTCTCCATTATTAGTGTTTTGTTGTGGCGACTTAGTTAATGGAATGTTTTACTTGCCAGGTAACAGGTTCCAACAAGGGAATAGGGTATGCCATTGTTCGGGGCCTCTGTAAAAAGTTTGATGGTGATGTGTATCTTACTGCCAGGAATGAGGAGCTAGGTAAGCAGGCTGTCAAAAGCTTAAACTCAGAAGGACTATCTCCAAAATTCCACCAGCTTGACATCAGCGACCAAGCCAGCATTAATCGTCTGAGAGATTTTCTCAAAGCCACTTACGGAGGTTTGGATCTACTCGTCAACAATGCAGGTATCGCGTACAAGGAATCTTCAACTGCCCCACTTGCTGAACAAGCAGAAGTTACGATAAAAACGAATTACTTTGGAACCCTTGCCGTCTGTGAAGCTTTGTTTCCTATCCTAAGAACGCAAGCAAGAGTTGTAAATGTTTCAAGTATGGTCGGCACATTTACAATTAAGAAATGTAGCAAGGAAATCCGGGCCAAATTTGCAAATTCCAAACTAACAATTGACGAATTAACAACTTTAATGAACGACTTTGTCCAGGCAGCGAAGAACGGAAGCCATGAAAGTAAAGGATATGCGACTAGCGCCTACGGAATGTCCAAAATTGGTGTGTCGGCCTTGAGCGAAATTCAGCATCGTCAACTTTCAGCAGACCCACGGGAAGACATCATTGTTAATGCCTGTTGCCCAGGTTATGTTGATACAGATATGACATCACACAAAGGTCATAAAACTATCGATCAAGGTGCTGACACGCCTTTGTATTTGGCCTTACTTCCACCAGGTACGAAGAGCCCAGCCGGGAATTTTGTGTCAGAAAGGGAGATCAAGAATTGGAGCGAATAATAATTTCCCTAACAGTTAATTAATACATAATTATCTATAATTGTCTATAGAACTTTTTCTGTTTATGAAATTTGAGTTTTAATATGTGATGATTTTAATTTTTAGAACACAATTAATGCATAATTATCTCAAGGTTGTCTATTGAACTTATTACGTATATACAGTGTATTTTTTTTTAGTTTTAATATATGATAACTAATATTTTAGAACACACTTATCTCAATTATTTTATTAAAACTCATTTTTAACTCATTTTTAACTCTCCTCGTCTCGACGAAATCGAGATATGCGTCCGTTTAAAGTCCATTTCCAAGAATGTGTAAGTCCTACCTGGACTAAACATGCATCATCCTTGTGTAAAAGGTGAAGATAACGAACAGTGATCAATCTCATGAATCAAGTAAACAAAATGAATCGTGAACAGGGCAACAACACGGACCTCTGGAAACACCAGAGGTAGGATCAGGTGCCTAGGAGGAGTAAGCATCCCCTGTTGACGGGGCACACCACTGTGAGCTCTACATGTATTGATCAGATATACGGAGTACATGTACTCCGTAGTCAAACTTAGTATAAAAGTCTAACAGACTTGCTTCTGATGCTGGGTCTGATGTACATTTTTCAGATGAACGACTAGGTTTTAAAAGCAAGCCCATTCCTAAGTAACTATGTATAAGCCTTACCTGGTCCAAACTTAAATTGATGATTGATGTATAAATAGCATATTTAGGGTTATAAACTACCAAAGATGCTTCAGATATTGGATTTCACCTATATATTCTGGATGAGTGATCAGTTTTAATTTTTTTGGACCAGGTTCATTGACAAGCAACAATAAGCCTTATGGTGTCCAAATTTTCATGGATGATGCATGTAAGGATACATACTACAGACAAGCGTAGGATACTGGATTTGATCTACATTTCTCAAATGAGTGATGAAACTAAAGCATTTTGACTAGGCCCATTATGGACAAAGTAACTATCTATGTTGACAAATCTTACGTGGATGATGCATCTAAGGATGCACACTACCAAGTCTGGTGCTGGATATGAACCATATTTTTTATGAGTACTAGTGACTTGGTTGAAGTTTTTAGAGCAGGTTCATTCACAATGTTGACTCAGCTTGTATGGATGAAGCATCTAAGAATGCACACTACCAGACATAATCTGATGATGGACCTGACTTCCCGGATTCATTTACTGAACAGTTAAGTTTTTGGAGTAAGCCAAATTCTATCAAGACCAAACTTGTTGTATAGATGTTACCAGAATATTCGTTCTTTCCGTGAGGGACTTTACTTATAGATAACATTCGTCGAGTTGAGCTTCGTAATCTGATTACCTCTGCGAGCTTTGTTTCTCAGATTGGGTTCACTCGTGTGTATTTTTAAATCATGATATAAAATAAAAGTTGTAGAATATTTGGCAATTTTGTTTTTGTAAATATGTTCGTATGTACAATTAATCTAAATTACGAAATATATGCATATACTAGTGTTTGTTTTTATAGATAATTTCTTTATTGCATAATACACCTATATGGGTCAAGCAATACAATCCATCATTAAAAAAACAGAGAACAATATATGTTTATATACAATAGGTGCAATTTAAACAAGCATTCTGAGAGTATTGCATTAGCAATACTAGTCCCCTACCGGCAACTGTAATCTGGTTCCGTTCCTGTTAAGAATTGAAAATGCCATAATTCCGTCAAAAATTAATGAAGCGGGACGAAATGCAAACTTGATCTATAACTAATCAAGGTAAAGCCACATACCAAAAATCAGCTCAATATCTACAAGCGTTTAGAAGAAAATTGCGGAAAACCCGTAAAAATTGAAAAGGCCGTAATTCCGTCAAAAATCAATGAAGCGGAACGAAATGCAAACTTGATCTGTAACTCATCAAGATACACTTACATACCAAAAATCAGCTCAATATCTGCAAGCGTTTAGGAAAAAAGTGCGGAAAACCAAGTGGGACAGAATGACAGACAGACAGAGGGACAGACAGACAGACAGACGGACAGACAGACAGACAGACGGACGGACAGACTCAGAGGAAACCTATAGTCCCCTCCGGTTTCACCGGTAGGGGACTAATAATTTACTCCTTATATATTACACCGATGTGGACCATTTATTTCTTAATTCTAATGATTGTTTTATAAAAGTACAAACAGCCGGTATAACTTCAAGTGTTGGACTAAGTATATATTTAAGTTTCTGTATGGGTGATTTGAGATAGAATGAGGAACAATTATCTAGCATGGTTTTTATAAGTATATTCCTTGCTTGTATATTACAATTACACTGTAAAAAGAAATGAAATTCATCATCAATAGCACTACATGAAGTGCATAATCTTTGTTGTCGAGGTATTTTCTTTTGTCTACCAGTTTCTATTAGGAGGCAGTGGTCACTTGTTCGAAATTATGTTAGCAATTGTCTATTCTTGAAACTATTTTCAAGCATAAGATATTTTTCCATATTGAGATTGTGTTTTTTTACTGTACAAGTATAGTTTCGAGTTTTCTGTGAATTAAGATACTTTTTCCATTATGATAGTTTTGTCTTTATAATTATCTAGTACTGTTTTCTTCGACTTCTTTTTAACTGAATTTCGAATGTGGTCAAATTTTTCATCCTTTTTCCTGTAGTTATTGCTATTTAAGAGAGTTTAGTCGTACAAAGTACATCATAACTTGAGTTTAATAAAAGAAGAAACTGGAAGTCTACCTAGTTCACACTATGATGAAATAGTGCATGCTGTTTTGTTGAGTCCTAGGACTGTTTAACAATATCTACCATGTATTTTTTCATAGACAGATTTATCCTGTAAAGCAAGATTATCAACGAGATGTTTTTTTTTTCATTGCTCTAAGTATTGCTTTGTACGAAGAAGATAATCGTCCATAAACCAGATTTCGATTTCACTATTAAAGCATAAAATAGGGCGAACAAGAGTCAAATAATTTACAAGACAAATTCACAGGTATATAAAAGTGTGAAATTGGAGAAATTTTTTAGCAGAATTCAGACTTTGCATTGACACTTTTGGCGCTACATATACTAAGTGCTCTAACTCAACACTGCTTATGTGTGAGATTATGTAAATATAATACACAGAACTAATATAATTGTACCATACTCTCCTTATTCAGGTGTCTGCCCTCTCGATAATAAAATCGCTGAAGAAAAAAGTGTTGTTGTTCCTCTATGCAGCTCTTTTTCGACAAAGTCGTGACAAGATTTGTATGCTATGTAGAATTATTTTTTGCTTTAAATCTTTCTTTTAAACAGAAAATTATTTTTAGTGATGACCCACCCTATCCCCTAGAAAACGTGGGCCCCACCATCACCACCACGAAATAGATGTTTTTCACGACGTCTGGAAAATGGACTTTACGTTTTTTTTTTATTTGCTTGTCAAGATATTTTTGGATTGGATTTTTTTTTTCGAATGAGGTGGACCCCCCCCCCCCCGGAAAAAATTCCTGGATCCGCGCCTGAAAGAATAAATGTATATCCCGACTTTTGTCAAGGATAATCTTGGGTTATTACGAAAGGTTCATTCTCTATAAGGCCGTTTTTCCGGCCTACAACGACTTCAAAATTTCAAGTAATATTTTCCCCCTTAAAAACTGCTTCAATCTTCAGACTAATAATCCAATTTATTCATAAATGTTGCTTGGTTTGTGGTTCTGAAGTATCTGTTATGATATAGGGTCACAAAATGATGTACTATCGACCCGAATTAGCATTAGGGCAATGGGAAAACTCAAGAGGGTGGGTGCGTTTGGCAACTCCTACACAGGTCATAACCACCTTAAAGCTAGCTGAACACGCTTCGTAAAAAGACTCTGTCCGCCATATTTGATTGGTTTCTCGCTATATCTGAGAGCCCCTATATAAAGCCGCTGACTTGATCACTGTTCAGTGTATTCAATCGTCACTGGTAAAGACGGACCTATGCTATACAGCACGCGGTAGCGACAAAATATAACTGTGTACTGCTTCTAATGCAGGAGAGTAAGAATACCAAAGAAACTTACAACAGTTGCACAGGTCAGTGCAGTATACAAACAAACACAAATACAAGTAACTGCAATAAAATGTAAACAAAAAGTAATGTAAGATAACCACCACGAACACGTGTCGCCATTCCATGCTGATACCCGTGACAATATAAAGCAGTCAAGTGTAACGAATGCGAAGGGTACAATATGTGCATATGTATATCCCGGTGCTGGTATCGTAGCAAGTAGTATAAAAAATGGCGTATGCCTATTTACGAGTCGTGTTCAGCTTTAACAGGTCGAGACCACTAGATTTTCTGACGTCAGCATAAATTTGCATGTAAATTAGCTATCTGTTTACTTTACCCACTGATGAATGAGTCGCAGTGCATTATGGGCTACTACAAGTACTCAGCTGTGTTGAAAATAAATGGCAATTTGAATTGGCCCTTGGAAATTCATTTTCAATTCTTTTTTGAGATTTATGAAAGAAATGTTGAAAATGATGTATAATCTTTCATTCCTATGCTCACATTTACAAAAATTGCTTTGTGAAGCCTTATATCAACTTGTAATACATCGGCCTAAATCATTGTTCAGAGACGTATAGGTGCTATCGTGTCAATAATGGATAGAGTTTGTTTGTTTTTTCACGTGATATACATGTACATAGTTTTAGCCAGCAGTACAAGGTGCGCAGTAATTATTTAACCTACCTCTCTATATCATCAAAATGCTCTTATGTACATGCAAGTTTACGTCAAAGCGTTTGTACGGTAATTGAAGTAACTATTAATCATCTAAAACAACTCCAATATTAAATGTGAGCAAGGAGCAGTATCTTTGGAATATAATCTTTCAATTTCGGTCTTATAAATTAAAAAAGAAGCTCTGCCGTTTTTCCGGTGACGAAGTAAACATTATGCAGTAAACCGACGATTTCAAACCACGTGTCGCTATTGAATCGTAAACACGTAGTAGACTGTCATGCTTTGGAACTCTTTCAATTGATTGGAGAACGGTGTGACGTAAACATTGTCACGTGTTGAAAATTGCCTTCCATATAAGGTAGTGTACCCGACCTGTTTAAACCAACACCAAAACTTGCATGCAACGAAACTTCTTATTAATATAAAAAGTGACTACCAGCGTATTAACTTGGTTTAAGGTGGTTATGACATCTACGAAGGGTGATCAAAAAGTTCGCGAACTATCTCAATATTTACAAAACCACAATTCAGATCAGAATAAAATTTGGCACACATATAGTCATACAAATGTTCTATAAATAACAGATGTTAAATAATGTTTTGCTCCGTGTTTGTGACGTCACAAAGTGAAAATGACGTCAATATATAGGTGACTTGTGACAAAAAATGGTTGACTCAGTCTCACTCGAGAAACGAAGGGCTGTAAAGTTTAACGTTATATCTTGGAAATTCCTTTGCAGTAGAATATGATAATTTGTACAAGGTTTATGAAGACAATAGACTTACCAGAAGTCCAATCATTAATTAGATTGATTATTGAAGGCAGGGAGATGGTAAAAAATAATGTTTGTTCTGTTATCCAGCGAAAGCAAGCCGGGGAAAAGATGTGTCCGTAGTTGAGCAATTTGTAATGAAACATCGCCAAGTTACGATTAGAAAAATAGTTGAATATCTTAACAATAATATAATTATTAAATCCCTAAAATATCGTTTACTTTAGACTTTAAACATATGAGATATGATAAAGAGAAGGCGTCCATACTTTATCCACACTGGATAAACGACGCTCCCAAGACAGAGGACTCGGATTGTGATGGTCACCATGTTAATTCTGGGAAGAGATGTCCTTATCTACCTATCCTATTGCTGAGATTTGGCAATTTCTGACAGATGGACTGTTTTTGTTATAAAAAATAACTTACACGGTAAGAAATATAAGTCTCGGAAAAATTTTTAGCTTCTGTGAACAGACCGCTACGGGGCATGTCACGTGACCGCCTTGATCACGTGATTCGCGCATGGGCAGAACAATGGCAGATGTGCATTAAAATCGGAGAGGACCACTTTAAAAAATAATAAACATTGAAACCTCATTTCATTTCTTTTAAGGAAGTTATTCAATTAGTTCGCGAACTTTTTGATCACCCCTCGTAAATAAAAACTTTTCGCTTCATTTTAACGATAATTTTAGGGAAAGCTTACTTACTCATAATGAAGACTATCACCTTGTTTAGATTATTTCATGTTCTAAAATTTCAGTTAGAGTACAATTTCTAGTTGATAAAAGAAAATGAATATAATCCATGCTATTTTCACTCGAAAATATTGTTTTTCTAACTGAAAAATCAAAAATCAAAGGACTGGAAAGACTGGATGTCATGAAAATACTGTTCTGAAATCTAGTTATTACATATGATTACAAATCTATTGAAATGATTGCTAAAAGTACATAAACAATACTTTTTATAAAGTATATAGTAAGAATCTTTATTCTTGAGTGTAGATTTAACTCTTCTTTGAGTATAACTGTAAGCACATATGTACTTGAAATTATAGAAACCATTGATGTTGTAGTGGAAGATACACGTCTGTTTTATTGTGGTATATTAACTCATTATAGTAGGTAATTGTGATAGATAAGGAATTACAAACATGAAATTTTGCCTCCACCTTTCAGAGGGACACTCCTATTTTCTCCTGATGAGTGACACAAGATCGAACTATTTTGCTATTTGAAGTGAT